TATAACTCTCGTTTCAACTATTTTTTTAGTCCCTTTTAACTTAAAAAATTAACATGAACAAATTTAATAATGTAAGAATCTATAATTATATATTTTAAGTTATGATCGATATGAAGACGGTGTGGTAATTATGTTTATTAAAGTGTCCCAAAAACCAAGGACAATTTTGTGAATATCCTCTGATTTATATGCTTTTAGACAAAAAAATTGTGAATAAAATTTTGGGAATAGGGTAACCCGTGTCGACTTATATTGATTAATGTCTCTGAGGCTCTCTGTAGCTAAGTCTGCTGTGACTCTACATACCGATATGATTGTGATTACTAGTTATGGGGTAGAACATGTAACGTTTTCAATGAGTCAAAATATCCTTATTTCTAATGGTTTTCATCGACACATCTGATCGAAAAGTTAAAATAGTTTCAATTTCTAATCTTTTATCTATAGTAGACAAACTTTAAAAAAAATCACAAAACACAGTATAAACATATGTATTTTCTCTTTCGCCGTCAAAACTTTGTCATTATAGATTTTTTTTTCATATTGCAAACGTCAAGTCTCTTCAATTAAGAATAAAAGTGAACATAGTTTTCTACATTATTGTTTTGCTTTGAAATAATACTTCGTTGTTCAAATAATGCTTTGTTGAGGGTAGCAAAAGATGAAACTGGGAGGGAATCTAAGTTAACACAAAACTTCTCTAAATTATTCATAGTTGAAGTGGAACAAAAACAAAAATTACACTGCATACAACACTGAAAAAAATCCTGACTGTAAATTAAAATTATAAAAAGATTTTAAAAATATATTTTTTATATAAATGCGTTAAAATATACTATTCGGGAACATTGAAGTTATAATTAACCTTTAAAAAATTATCTTTATGGTACATATCGGCTGTTATATTCCGAACGCTATATAATTTTTTTTATTAATAAGGTTAAATTTAATCAAAAGAATGGGATATTTGAGTTCAAAGTAGAAGTAGAAACTTAGAAAGTACATATGACTCGGAAAAATCACATTGGTACTTGCCAGGATCGAACCCGCGCCGTCGGCAACGAGAGGTGGGCCCTTTAACCACTAGGCCACCACCGACTTATATACCCAAGTGTATATTCCATATAAAAATGAAATTAAAATAAAGAAGAGAAAATATCTATTATTTTTTAATTTTAGTCATTCATAAGTAAGAAGTTAGTCTAGAACAGTTATTACCTGTTTTTTAAATTTTATGGAATACATACATATATAGTGTTAAAGAAATATTATGAATACAGATTCTATCTCAATAAAATCACACAAAATGTATGGTGTCAAATAGAATCGCTTTTGTCTTTGTGTAGCTTCCTTTGATGTCTAAGAGGTATTTGACTTGAACTTATTTCACGCTTTCCTTTCTCTGTAATTTATTATTTCAAACGGATTTGATTAAACAATTTTTTTTTTGGATTTATCGTTAAGAAATATAGCCTTAGTTATGGTTTTGACAATTTTTTTATTATTATTTAATTCAGAATAAATAAACTGTAGTACTGTATAAAAATAATGATATAGTTTATCTCTAATTTGTAGAATAATTTGAATTAGAACAACACGAAGAGAACAGCACTTCTACTACAAGTTAGTATTTTTACCAACCTAGATTTTATTTTTACAAATACAGCGGTACGGTGGTTCAGCCTAGCTGTGGTCAATTACAACAACTCGAACATGAGCTCAATCGACCAGAGAAGTACCACCCTCTCACAGAAGATTGGCCTGAAGTAGTCTTTAGTAGCTGCATTTCGTCCGATGAGTAAAAAGCCAGTTCCTCTTTCCCTTTTCCCAGCCTTTCCTGTCTCTCTTCCACAATCAACCGTAACCTCCTTATGTTGCAGAGGTCCATGGGTGATAGTGACTACCTTCCAACAACTAGGCAATCATCTTGTTAGCATTGAAATTAGTCTATGAATACATTGTCAAACAGTTCATCTAAAGAGTTTAGTTTATTATTTTATTAGTTGCGGTTGGATGTAGTATTGTAAAAATATATTTAAAGGAATAAATCAAATAGAATTAATACAAATGTATAACAACCGCTAACAATTGACACTCGAAAATTTATATTGTGATCACGTTCTGAGAGTTTGCTAGACAGTAGACTAAGTTCCTTTTGTATGGTTCTATATGAACTTAAAGATCCCCGACTAAGGCGATTTTCATTTCGGGATAAAAAATAATATCATCCTTTGTTGTAGGGATTAACATGTAACATAGTATTATATAAAAAACGTCATTTATACTGAATTTTACTACGAGTTGTAGAAAATATATATGACCTCAAATAAAAAAAAGAAAACAGATTATAAACATATTTAAAGCATAATTCTAATGAAAAATCTGCTTACCAAATGAGTTTTGTTATTTTATTTCATTAACAAAACAAATTGGATTCTATAGAGAATATTGTTAATTAATGAGTTAGAAAGCCATTGTTATGTTTATTTATTGGCTTGTATTTTGTGTACGTTATGTATATAGTGTTTGTAACTACAGTAATGTATCGAAATAGCCTTTTGTGAATGCCAAGCTTATACGAGATTATATAAACAGCGTCTGGTCGTGTAAAATTTATTGGAGCGTAAAATCGATCATCGCTTTGATGACGACCGTCGCCCCTGGACGAACGGATAACTTAATTTGCACAAGATCCCTATTATAATCATATGATGATCCGGTTTGCTGGTTTTTTATTATTTTCAGTTATAACCATAATAAAAATTATAACTTAAATATATAAACATTTTAGTAAACGTGTGACAGGGCTGACAATATTGTAAAAAATGAAAATTTCTTTCATAATGATTACATTTTTTTATGTTGGACAAAGTGAAAAAAAATCAGTCAAAAAAAAAAGTAAATAAATAATCAAACTAAATATTGTCATATAACCAGTAGATTTTTTTCATAACTTTTTACCGAAATAAAAAAAAACCTTAAATATATTTAATATCTTGCAGATTTAAGCCATGAGATGAGATTGCTTCAAGCGGTCTAGTAATAAGGATTAAGTAAGTTACTCTTGCTTAAATTTATCATATCCTAAAATATTACACTTTAAAATAAAAAAACAATGTATTCACACCATACTTTTAAGATAATGGTACCATATAAAATAATAATAATAATAACTTATATACTGCATACAGTATTTTTTATATTCATTAAGTATTATGAAATTTAGAATCCCATAGACAAAATATGATTTAAGAGTAAGAGAGCTTTATTTTTTATAAGAAAATTGTCAATCCGAATGTGAGGTGTTATGTGTAATCGCTTGAATCTTTGTGCACCTTTTGATGTTCGAGGAACAAGGCGGAAATTGAAATGAGATTATTTTGTTCTCTATCTGTCTTCACTTTGTAGGATTTAAATATTCCTTGGCATTCATTGTTCAAATTGGAACACTTCCAAAGTATACGTCGATTGGATTTCGATTAATATGCAAAAAAAAACTTCATATTTTATCATTTTACAATTTAATCTTTATTCCGTTCTGCCTTTGTCAGTTGAATTCAAGTTTTTAAATGGTTATTATATATTATATCTCTATAAAATAAATACTATAGAATATAATATAATATTTATAATCATTTAATTTTAATGTTATGATCATTACATAGTTTATCTATTTTTATATACATTTTTATTTGATCTTAATTGTAATAATTTAAAGAAAATTCGTTCAAATCATCATTGGTCACTTCCATTAGTTATACGTGCACCAAATGTAAAATGTAAGGACAATTATTGAATAAGTGTATTTTACTGACATTTTTATATTGTAAAGTAAGTAATTATTACATAAACGCAAACTTAAAACTGCGTAATGTAGGTTGCACCGTCACACTGCATGTTTCGTTTCCCGTCTCTCATTCAATAATAATTTCCAATACTAAAATAAGCAAAGATTTTAAAATAAAAACTATTAACGTTCTATCTGTAGTGTGACAATGCAAACTTGGGGTTAGCATACTGAAACAAAATTAATAGATTTCTAGATGGCAATCGCTTGTGGCTAGTGTCAACAAAATGACAGTATAGTACAATCACCTGCTCAGTTTCAGAGATGATCTCGTATTGAAAAATGGTTTATAAATGTCAAAGAATGTTAGTGACAATATGAAACGAATTGGAAGGTTCAGTGAGCGCAGGTGAGGAAATTGCAATATCGGATATTGATGAATTCATCAAACTAGAATTTGAATGCGCCATGAAATGAAAGATGAAACTCATTTAACATGGATACAGATACAGTCGTGTGATCTTATATGATGGTTGGAGTTGGTAATACTTTAATTAGTAGATTTATAGGTTTAAGATAAAATAAATATTATCAGTAATAAAATCTCTGATAGCTTTTACTGTGTCAGTATTTTTTTTATTATCAAAAAAGTTTATAATGTTGTGGTATACAACTGGAAAATACATATATCATGTACAGTTACATATTTTTATGAAACGTCCTATAGGCAGATTTTACTCAAGAAGAAACGATAATTTAAAGATTATTTTCTTAGAAAATTTTATTAAATAATCACGAACATATCGGAATTTCATTAAGTTAAAATAGAATATCGTTAGCTTTAACAACATAAAGTCAGCAAAACATATTTTTTATAGTACTCGTATAAAAATTTAATAGTCAACTACAGCATAAGAATATAAAAAAAGTATGTATCAATAAAATATTTTGGCGGAGAAAAGTGTCATGTGTTATGTTATATTACATAAATATATTTAAGTTTTTAAATTATTTTGTTTTATACATACTAAATCAATGAATTAATAACTTTAACCTAAATATGTAGATATATACATATATGAATTAATGTCACATATAATAAAATTTAAACTCATTCCTAACTATTAACTTATATCCAAAATGTCAGTCCGTTTGAACGATAGGAGAAATATTTCGCAAATATACTGCAGAATGTTATAATGGAATGAGAGTGTTAATTTCCGTACATCAGGAATATATCTTTGGGCATTCTCAGACGGGCAATGTGACAGCAGACGGAGTCGTTGTCGTATTCAAAGCATTCGTCGTCATCATCCATCATTTTGGACCTTGGACAGATATCACCTTGAATACACAATCCTGTCGTGCCACGGAAGTCAGTGCATTCCTTCCATACATTAACTAAAAACATTAACAACAATATATATGCAAGGCAAAAAAAATGCAATTTATGTTATGCAATTATTGTACATACATATTTTTTTAATTCAAACTATCAACACTGGCTAAATTGGGTACTCACGATTTCCTGTTACAGTAAATGGATTTGTTGTAAGATATCTCTGTGATTCCACGCAGCAAGTAGACAAAAGGATGCATAAAAATAACTTGACCCTTATATTCATGATTAGAAGCGGTAATGATAATTCAAAAAACGGTTCAATATAATATTTATAAATAACTACGTACCTACTGATAATAAAAATAATCGATTTGTACCTACGACATAAAATTGTTCTTTTCAATCAATTTGATACAAGTAAAATAATAATTTGATATTCTACATACATATAATATTTTAAATACTTAATGTATATCTTGCTTTAAAATTCTTCTATTCTCTTCAAAATCACATCAAGCACCCACATTAATAAAGGGAATAATTTAAATGTTTTAAACTAATCTTTTCTAACTTGTTTTTGTTTTAATTTTTTTTTTATATATTGCAACCTTCACCACCTGTCAGTTTCACGTGATATAGAAAAATGAGGCTGTTTGCAAACAAACACGGTGTACATTATAGGTACAAATGGATTTTAAGACACGTTTTGGCTTTCAAAAATATTGTATTCAAAAAGTTAAGGCACGTTTCAACTATTACTATAAAAACACGAACAAAAAAACATTCAATTTCCTACAATGTTTGCTTAAATTCAATAATTCATGATTTCATTAAAAAACGTTGTTGGATTTCACAGTGCGAGTTTTAATTTGATTACTTTATTGCTAACACTATTAGCAAGTGCTAGTTAATATGATGGAGTAATTTGCGAGTACGTGTTTGATGTTTTAGGTATAGAAATGAAACTTACGATATTTTATGATTAGTTATTTCTATATATAAAGTCTTCCTTATAAGATTGTTTCACTTGAAAGATGATTTTTTTGTTTTATTTTATTTAAGAGTTATGCGAGTCACCCACACATCCATAAAACAGTACTTACGAGCAACACGTAAACAGCGTTCCTACCGTCACTCTGGTCCCCCAATGCCACCCGGGGCGAATCACGCCAGTGCCTACTGAAGTTCAGATCAAATTTATATGTATGTATCTTTTTTTCTTCGTATATAAGTGTGCATTTTTCTTTAAAATACAAACAAAATATTTCTTTTTGAAATTATTATTGTAGTGATGTCGCCAAATTGCCGATGAAATCTGTTTTGTGACTTGTCTCGCATATTAATGTGTCAGACAAATTTGTTTTATTTTCGTGTTACACAAATATTATTGAACAAATGAGATGAAATTAGATTTTGATGTTTGTTATACTTTTTTTTAAATTTTAACTTATGCCTTGTTAGGCAGAAACCGATGGCCGCTAATGGGAGATCACTATTATATTAACACAGCAGGACACGATCAGACACATTCTGTGGTCATTCAAATGATTGAGTATTATTGGAGTAGTATTGGTTCAGAATAAATTAAAATTAGGTTGAAAACAACGTACGGGATTTTCCATTGTGACCGTATGTACTGAGGCAAACATGATTTTATCAATTCACACGTGTATAAATATTGCTTCGTCATGTTAAATTTGCTATTATTTTTTAAAAGGAGTTCCATATTAACGTTAAAAATTTCTTATATTTTATTTTACTACTATATAAGTATCTTGTATTGTTAGTAACAAGTGCTATGATTTTGTAGGTGGTAGAGCCTAGCTGTGGTTAAATTACTACAACTCGAACATGGGCTGGCTCGACCGGGGAAGTACCACCCTTTCACAGAAGATCGGCGTGAAGTAGTCACTAATGACTGCGTTTCGTCCGATGAGTGAGAGAGCCGGTTGCCCTTTCCCTTTTCCCAACCTTTCCTTGTATTTCCTTATTCCCACCCTTCCCTATCTTTAAAAAGAAAAGGTTGGCAACGCATCCGCAACAAATATGTTGCGGATGTCCATGGGCGACGGTAACCACCTTCCCTCAAGTGGGCCGTTTGTTCGTTTGCCACCTATAACATAAAAAAAAATGTGATAGTTGACAAATAAATATTTAAAAAAAGAAGTGATAAAAAAAGATTGGGCTCGTCCGGGATTTGAACCCGGGACCTCTCGCACCCTAAGCGAAAATCATACCCCTAGACCAACGAGCCGCTTGTGTAAATGTTTGAAATACAAGAATTGTAAAAAATGAAGTAATTTTATAGGAGTATGTCCAAAAAAAAAGAAAAACATCATTATAGTATGAATGTGGTGTAATTAAATAAGATCATCATCATTTCAAGATTAACAATTTTGATAAGATATAATAAATCCGCCGGTATGACGATATTATTATAATCTACTTATTTAATTTTATAACATAACTAACACATTTATTTTAATATGCTGTTATAGTTCCGATGCATCTATTTTAATAAATTATATTTAATATTTTATAATACTAAAAACATCACTTTCCCGACACGTATTAATGAGCACAATTATTTCTTAAAAAACGTTACACAAGTATATAAAAAGAAAAAAAGTTGGGCTCGTCCGGGATTTGAACCCGGGACCTCTCGCACCCAAAGCGAGAATCATACCCCTAGACCAACGAGCCATATGAACGGTGTGTCTGAATTAATAATTGAGTCATACAGTAATATATTTGATTATAGTAACAGTTAAGTTCACTAGTTCAATGGCCTCATATACATAACCAAAGACGAGTTCGATTTGGTCACGTACACTTTCACATACATACCCGTACACATTTTATAGCGTATGGTTGTACTAATTATTTATAACTTTTCCATTTACTTAAATTAATTTTACATATAGAAAAATACATTAAAAACAATGCATTATTTTAATAATTTTATTACATTATTATATTCTTAATTTTTTTTTACTTCTTAACCCAAATATCGGAATCCCGCTTATATTGAAAACACGTATTAATCTACATACAACCGGAATCAATAGAACACATCAAAGTTAAAATGTCGATGTGCTTTAAAACCTGTCTGGAATACGAAATAGCCGTAGTACCTCAGACGTCGAGGCTCATGAAACTAAGAACAGACGATTATTCTGGAAACACACGACATTGTACATATATGCGATAAATTTCGTTTATTTTTAAATAAAAGTTTTGTTGCTTAACAGACGAATTATGTATATATTAACTGATAAGTACTTTTTACGTAAATTAAACATAGATACATAGGTACTCGTTCTAATTATATCACGATTAAAACTGACCTAAGTCTTGGTTGTGATTTTTTTGTTGTTAAAAAAGAATATATTAATAATGTTTCTTTTCATTTGTTTTCTAAATGTCGAGTGGTTTTGGTTGGTGATCACATGAAAAATAACGTTCACTTAGAGAATATTCACTTCGGAGGTTAAAAGGCAAGAAGTGAGCTCGTAAAGCCTAAGATAGCGCTTTATAGATGCAATGCATACAGAGTGCACAATAAATGTATACCTGCTTGTTTATTTATAGGATCGTTCAAGCAGTGTAAGCGCTGAAATGTCCAACATTATTTTCTTATACCATTTTTCCTGACGATACAAATAATTAAATCTTCTATAGGACCTATATTTTATAGTCTATAAATTTTATACACCGTGTTAAAAACTTTGACGTAACACTAATTTTTATTTTGTGTTAAGATAATAAAAGAAGGTCATATTTAAAATATTTGAACGAATATTAACGAAAAAAAAAAATACTATACGGTTTATTAGATCTTCATTAAGGCCTACTACATTTAAGAGTGTTCCTACAAAAAAGGTATATAGTTCAGATATTAAAAACAAAATTTGCCAGTACAATTTAGGAATCTAGTTACGAATGTTTATGTTTGCTTTTTTTGTAAATAAGTTAGCTGTTAGTGATATTCCCCTGGGTTTTTAAATTGGCAGAAACTATTTATAAGTTTTATTAATATTTGAATGAATGAAAGAACGAAGGTCTTCTAGCACTACTCTCAGATGATTTGAAGCGATCGAAGTCGGAAAAGAAGCTTCAACTTTGTTCGATATCCACCAATGACTGAGTTTGGAATAAAAGGTTTCCATACAACTTTCCCATAAGTTAAGTGCCCAGGGAATGATTCGCATGTTTCCGAAACAATTATAGAAAATAACTCTATACAAATAAAACTTCACTGAAGAGGTGTATGACTGAAATGGATTAAATTTTATTTCGTGAGACAACTCTAAGGACTAAGTATATTTTGTTCAACAAATTTGTTCTAGAATTTCACATTACATACTGTTAAGAATAAAAAATATTTCTGAAGGTCAGTAAATTAATAAAATAAATGAATAGAGTGTGGTTTTTTCAAGTACAATTACTATGAACAACATTTTTTTATATTGGTTCTTCTTGTATATAGCGATTTTCAATGTTTAAACGTTTGAACCTAAATTCACAGCTATTTATTCCGTTTAAAGATTCCATAAAATGATAAATATTTTAAAAGAGAAAGCATCTATCTTCACCAGTAAATTCAATAAATAGTTATACAAGCTTATCCGCCTGACATGATCTTATATATCTTATACATTTAAATTATTCAAACGAGTTACATCTTCTTCACACGGTTTTCTTTAGGAGCAGTAATATAAACTAAACTAACTTATAGTAAAATATACATATCTCTTACAGTAAAAATTATGATCATGAATTGATCATCCTCAAAATGTTCAATCATTTTGAACAGAAAAAGAAAATAATAATTAAAGTTATGAATACATACACTAACTCCAATTAATTACTGCTTAACCTTTAACTACCGACGTGGTTTTTTTGTATCACTAGTACCGACGTGGGGCCTGAGAGGCCGCATATTAAACACTGAGTGGTATGAAAAATATGTACATTAGACATCTATTTTTTAAGTTTTATCGTTAATTTGGGATCTATAAATGAAAACAAAGACACTTATTATAATCAACTTTATTAAACTTTGAAATTATAAGATCTTTAATCTTTAGCTCCGAATCTCAACTTAAAAATGGCACTTCCTGAAATAAAAATAATTAAAGAAATAATACGTCCTAGGAACCATGAAATAGACGTTTTTCTGAAACTTAAAGGTTATATCTATTCAAAAAAAAATTAAACTTAAATTGTTTTCATAAAATAAAAAAAATGTCCAACAACAAAGTTAGTCACAATTAGGGCAGA